ATTTATGCCTCATCTGAATACATGATAATTGATGAAAGTGTATATCTTTTTTTTTTTTTTTTTTTGGTCTTTTTTTCCCTTTTTATTGGTACCGGGGATCAAACTCTCATGACTGCCTGCTTGCAAGGCAGGCGCTTATGCTGCTGAGCTAAATCCCCAGCCCCTGAAAGCGTATATCATTTTCATGGTTGTGGAAACTTGACAATACAGTATATGCCAACCAAATATTACAAATATGATATAAAAATATATCTCCTGGTAGATGTCATGAGATTTTTACACCTTAAATTTAGAAATTTATCCTGGAATTCAACCATCAGGTCTTTCTTAATGCAGTAATAAATTGTATGACTTTGTTAACAGATTTGTTGCACATATTTCAAAAAGTAACCTGGGACCAGGGATATGGCTCAGTAGCAGAGCACCTGCCAGGCAACTGTGAGGTCCTGAGTTTGATTCCCAGTACCAAAAAAATAAAAACCCAAATGTCCCATTTGATAGTTAGCTCACTACTTACCCTTAGACATTTGCTAAAAACACTGATTGACCAGCACAGGAACTAGCTGCAAGAATAAAGCTGAGGGGCTGGGGATTTAGCTCAGTGGCATAAGCACCTGCCTTGCAAGCAGGCGGTCGTGAGTTCCATCCCTGGTACCGATAAAAATGAAAAAGACAAAAAAGAATAAAGCCGAAATTCCTGAAAAAATGTTGCAGGTTCGCAACAGAGAAATGTATAGTAAGATCTTTGGATTTCAGAAACACAAAACATTGGCCTCCTGTATGGTGAGGAAAAACAAAGTAGTACTAATACTGTCAGTATACTATGATAAAAGATAGATAGGTGATGCCAGGCGTCATGGTGCATGCCTGTAATCCTAGCACTAGGAGGATCTTTTAGTTCAAGGTCAGCCTGTGCTCTGTACTGGGTTCCATGCTAGCCTGGACTGCATAGGGAGATCCTGGCTATAAAGATTTCATAGTGAATCCTCAACACAGACGAAGCCAGAAATGGTCACACACTACAACAAAATGAAAGGCAGATGTTGTGCAGCAACTTGTGAAGCCACTTGAAGCACAAAGCGTTGGCCAGTACTTGTGTTTTACTGGATTCTAGACATACCAGGCATAGTTTCATAGTTCACAAAGAAAATGAACACAAAATATTAGGGAGAAATTTTCTTAAAGAATTGGGACTGGAATTGGTCAGCTACAGCAGAGGAAGAACAGTTAAGTATCTACCTAAAGAACTCCCTGAAAGAATTCTGGAGCAGATGGGGTACGACAGGTGAAAGATCACAAGAACTTTCTAACATAGGAAGGCCAGGAGGACATCAGATATGTCCTACCCAAAACAGTTGTGCATGTCCTCCTGGTAGGTCAAACTAGTAGCAGGAATGTGTTAAGCAAAATTAAACTACAAATTTGTTTGGTTTTTTGAGACAGGGTTTCAGTATGTAGTTCAGGAAGGCCTTGAACTCACAGCAATCCTCTTGCCTCAGTCTCCCAAGTGCTGGAATTACAGGCATGCGCTACCATACCCATTATATATTAAAATGTATAAATTACAATTTAGTAAATCTGTGCCTCTGATAGTCATTAAAACCAGTTTTATCCCTTCTTCCTCTCACTTTTTCTTGGCTTGTCTTTTTCCCTCCTTTCCTTCCTACTCGCACATGATAGGCAAGTGGTCTACCACTTGAGTTTTCATCCTCACCCCTTTTTGCCTCTGTTGTGGGTGTGTGTGTTGGGAGTTATCCTGGGGCCTTGCCATGCTAAGCAACCACTTTACTACTGAGTTGTGACCCTAGCCTACACGTCTGTTACAAAAACAAATTAAAAGCATTGCCATATAGGTGAGTTCAAATTCAAACTGAAACAATGATTAAATCAAAATACAACTGTGGAGTTGTATCATCTGGGTCATTGTCCAGTGAATTTGTGATTTTGATCAAGTTAATCACATTTTTTAGTATCCTGTATAAAATGGAGATAATACTGTTAACTGATTTCAAAGGACTTGATAAGAGCGAATGCATTAGTACATGCTGAACATTTGGAGCAGTTCTTAGCTTTGTCAATGAGTTTGAATGAGTCTATGTAAATAGTTTAGTATTCTTTATATTGAATATGTACCTCATTCAGTTTGAGTAAGTCTGTAAAAACTTCAGGAAACAAAACCAAAAATGAAAGGTAAATGCAAATCAAGGGGAAAAGACATTTGGCTCTTCTGACAATAATACATAGTTGACCCAGACACAGGCTTGTTCATGTGGTAGATGTGTGTACTGGGTGGAGTCTGAAGAGCTCCTCTTGAAGAAGAAATTGGGGACCTCAACTAGGCCCACCAAGTAGGTTCTTACTTTTTTCTATCTTTGTTTCTTTTTTATCTTGAGACAGGATCTTGCTGTGTAGTTTAGGCTGGCCTTGAACTATGTAGCCCAGGCTGGCAACTCGACAGTCCTCCTGCCTCAGCCTCCCAAGTGCTGGGATTTCAGCTATACACTATTCCTGATTTAGCATGCTGTTTGAACTGTGGGGATTGAGTGTTGCCAAATTTATACAGCAGTGGTGATTTTCAGCCAGCCAGTCATTGCCTCTAAAATTCCAAAAGTCTTAGGCCAGGCATGGTGGTCCACCTCTGTAAGTGAAGGAAGAAGATCACCGTGGGTTCGAGGCCAGCCTAAATAACGTAGTGAGGCCCTATCTCAAAGAAACTAATAATCCTCAGAAGGTATATACCATTATCCAAATCTTATGTAACCACCTGCCCTTTATAACCACAATTGCTTTTTTGTTTTTAAAGGCAAGGTCGTTTTATGCAGTTTAGGCTAGCCTTGAACCTTGAACTCAGTGCTGTCCTTCTTTCTCACCTGGGTGTTGAGATTACAGATGTGCACCACCATGCCCAGCTATATCACATTGAAAAAAAGCACTGCAAAGAAAATGTCATGAGATGGTAGTTATGCTAAGGAATTTTATGTGAATAAAATAGCTGGTGTTAATCCTGTGTTGATGGAGATTTTACAGATTTTTTTTTTTGTTTGTTTTTGCTTTTTATCGGTATCGGGGATCGAACTCACGACTGCCTGCTTGCAAGGCAGGCGCTTATGCCGCTGAGCTAAATCCCCAGCCCCTGATGGATGTTTTAACAACACGGTTAATCTGCAGCATGGAATAAATCAGCTTTCCTTTTGGCTTTGAGGTACATTATAGTTAGGATTTTTTTTTATTATTTAAAAGGATAATGATGACACTCATGATATTTTCATGCTTCATTGAAACCTTAATTTGTACAAATTGGTACAAAGGACTGACTGTAGACATATTGTCCCTTAATTTACTACCTAAAGGAATGGATATCTTGGGGACAGTGGGGAATGCCTGTAAAGCTGGGACCTGGGCTGAACCAGAAGGATCATAAGTTCATGACCTGACTGGGCATTAGCAAGATCTGTCAAAATAAAAAGGACCCGGGCTGAGGATATAGCTCAGAGGCATAAGCATCTACCTGACAAGTACAGGGTCCTGCGTTCAACTCCTGGTACTAAAAAAAATAAAAATAAAAAGCATAGGGAATGCAGTGGGATGGCTTTGGCTCCATCTTCCACTACTACAAACTAGTAAGAATGGATTCCTGAAGGGGTGAAGAACAGTTCATTGGAATCTTAAAAGTGAATAACTCAAAAAAAAAAAAAAAAGATGAATAACTCATGTCATTAATTTAAAGTCAGTGTAATAAATGTTGGTTAACTGGATGTTATGGTGCATTTCTGTGGTTCCAGCACTTGGAAGTCTCAGATGCAGGAGGGTTGCAATGAATGCAGGTCAGTGTGGGCCACGAGGTGAGCATCAGCTTTCAAAACTGGTTTAGACAAATTATGTATTTTGCAGCAATATGCTTGGTAGGCGTTTATTTTCAGTAGTCAGCTTTATTGGAGTGTAACAATAGAATACTACTTTTACGTGGCAATTTAGTGAGTAATTCCTATGATTGTATAAGCACAGACAGATGTCTCTGTTATGTTGGTTTTGCATTTTTTGGAATTTGATATACATTGAATCATGTACTCTTCATTTTGTCTGGCTTTTTTTCACCAACATATTTTCGAGATTTAACCATTTTACTTTTGTGGTATTATTTGTATTCTACAGTTTTTATTCTGTGCAGATAATACTTTCATTTCTCATGGGTAATATCTAGCACTATGGTGGTTGATTCATACGGTATTTGCTAAAGAAATACGGTATTTGTTAAAGAAACCAAAAAAGAGGTTTCCAGGACTTTAATATTTCTGTTAATTTTCTGGAATATATGGAGGGGGGGTGATCTTTGACACATTTTCCTGGGATTGCATATTTGTAGTACTCGTAATTAGCATACCATGACATTAAATAGAGTCAGTGCCTGCATCACACCTATCTTAAGGCATGTTTATGCTTTGGGTATGGATGTATGTTAAGGATGCTTATTAAAATGCAGACTGTTGGGTCTCATGATCAAAGATTGAATTAAGTCAGAGCCACTACATAAAAATGCCCTTTTTTTTTTTTTTTTTTTTTTTTTTTTTTTTTTTTTTTGAGACAAGGTCTTGCTTTGCAGTTCAGGGTGGTCTCAAGCTCACTTTGTAGCCCAAGCTGGTCTTGAACTTGCAGTGATCCTTCTGCCTTAGCCTCCCAGGTGCTGGAATTACAGGTGTATGCCACCAAGCCCAGCTTGCATTGATTCTTATAACATAGGTTTGTTAATATAGTCAGTGTTTACGTTTCTGGTTCTTTGCTTTCACATGCTCTTGAATTTATATTCTTTGGTCTGCTAGGGTATCAAGTATTATCTTGGCTGCTTTGTTTGCCATCTAGTGGCAACAAATAGTAACCATCAAAAGTTTAACCAGTGAATGAATTCATTAGTGCATTAAAGCTCTTCTGAAAGGGTGGAATAGAAAACATGTTTTTTTTTTTTAACCTGTGGCTAACTGCTCTGTATGCTTTTTCTCATTTAGAAATGGTTGAATCAATGAAGAAAGTAGCAGGAATGGATGTGGAGCTGACGGTTGAAGAAAGAAACCTCCTATCTGTTGCATATAAAAATGTGATTGGAGCTAGAAGAGCCTCCTGGAGAATAATCAGCAGCATTGAACAGAAAGAAGAAAACAAGGGAGGAGAAGATAAACTAAAAATGATTCGAGAATATCGGCAAATGGTAAGATGGTATTTTAAAGGGAGATGGTTAATCTTAAAGATACTTGTTCAAAATGATTTGTTTAGTGCCATTCCTCTTTATTGCAAGTGTCACACAGTAATATCTTACCTCATAAGTGGTTCTGTTTGCGAACAATTTGGTCTCAAACAAAAGTGTTTGATGCAACTTTGCTTCTGTTCACAAACTCTATGTCAGGTGGCAAACAACCGCAGCTGTCTTCCCCATATAAACACAGACATGACCATCTTTCCCTAAAGGCTGTCTTAACCAAAATTGTAAAACAAATTAAGTTGTAAGCGAACTGAAGTACCACTGTATCTGTATTGGTCAACTTTGTCACTTTAACAAAATACTAGGGCAGTTAATTTAAAAAGTTTAATTTGGCTGACAGTTTGAGAGGCTCTGGTCCATGGTCAGGTAGACCAGGGCCTTGGGTGTGATAAATGACAGTGGAGGGGGAGAGCCTTACAGGACAAGACCTCTTATATTACCAGCCAGGGACTAAAGACAGAGACCTTTGGGGGACATTTATTTAAGCGATAGTAGTGTCCTATGTTACAGTTCTTAGGATTGAAACAAGTGACAGGGAGTGTTACCTAAATATGTCTCTAATTTTTGTCTTTTATATTTATGGTTTTAAAAAAATTCTCCAAAGGGAAAGCAATGTTTGTTTTGAGGGTCTAGTTTGTCAGACCTATAGCTGTAAGTAATTTGACCTTAGCTATTAGATATTTTAGGTCACAGGCTAGTGAAATAAATAAATAATACATTCTATATTAGTGAATTTTCATCTTTTTACTCACCTATATTAGAAGTTACAGGCTGCAGAATGTTTCAGACAGAAACAACTTTTGAATAGAAGCAGCAGAGGGTGGTAGACAGTAATGATAAATTTATTTTTAAAAATAGTGCAGGTGGTTGAACCTCAGGCCTTGCGGAAACATTCTTCCACTGAGCCACATCCCTAGCTCTGGAGTTTAGGTTTGATCACAGCATAACTAGAAAGCAATTTTAATTGTTGCTTTTATTGTGGCAACCATAAAACATTTCATTGATGACTTGAAGCTAACATTTTGGGCAATTTAAGGAATATTTATTAGGTCCGTTGTGTGTCAGTTTGTTAGGTTATTATAGGTGTAAAGGTGAAATAGATATAGTTACTTACTGTTTTTTAAATGGAATAGAAAATATCAGAGGACTTTGGGTACTTAAAGTTGAAAATTGTTTAATATTGTGTCACATGTATGTGTGTATACATTGAAAAAAGAGGAGGTTTAGTGGTACTGCTTAGCAGTAGAGTTCTTGCCCAGTATACTTGAGGTCCTGGGTTCAATCCTTTGAGCAGTGATGGTGAACCTTTTAGAGCTTTCAGTGATAACAAACAGCCAGCTATGAACCATAGGTTCACCACCACTGCCTTAGGGCTACGAAAAATTAAAAAAAATAATAACACGGCCCTGGAAAGATAGGTATTAGCCCAATTCGTGATTCGTAGATGGAAAAAGATTTCAAATAGTTAAGTAACATACTCAAGGTTACATTAGACATTATGGTTACCAAACAATATTAGCCTAAAAATACAGGTTGTCCGTAGACCAGTTGGATGTTCCCAGAGGGATGGGGAAATGAGAAAGGTGAAAGGTGCTCATTGAATAAAGTATATGAGTTATCTGGACATGGTGGCACATGGCTGTAATCAGCACTTCAAGGAGGCTGAGGTAGGAGGGTCTCTGCAAGTTCAAAACCAACCCAGACTACATAGTGAGTTCAAGGCCAGCCTGAAGGTACATAGTGAGACCCTGTCTCAAAAAAACCAAAGCAGAACAAAAAGGTTCACAAGTTAAAATGTTGATTAACTTTTTAATGTGGGATTTGGGCTGAGTATGAAAGAAACAGGAAAGCAAGAAGAGCAACTGGTAAATTGGGGAAGAAGATGAAATTAAAGTCTAGAGATCTTCATGAGTTTCTTAAGTGATGGTGTTGTGGTACACACACATATTTAGTCTCAGGTACTTTAGAGGTAGACATAGAAGGAATGCACGTTTGAGGCCAGCCTGATAGTTTGGCAAGATCTTGTATCAGAATACAAACAAAATTAGAATAGGCTGTGGATGTAGCTCTATACACCCTGGGTCCAATCTCTGTTATGAGGCTGGTGTAGGATTGGGAAGAGTAAAGGAATGGAAAGAAGTTAGAGGCCAAGAGTGGATGGTTGAAATTTTGGACTTCTAGGATAGAGCAGCACAGTTAGGCTTACTGACAAATTGATGATTGTACAGATTACAGAGCTGTTTCGAATGGAAGGTGGCTGGTGTAATGCCTTGGTGAGATCTTAGGAGCAGATCATAAATACTCAGTGAATGTGGGAAAAAGCGCTGGAGATCAAATAATGACAAATTGAGTATGAAGGATTGAGGAAAAAGGCTTTGGAATAATGAGAACAGTCATACGAAAGAGGTACCTAGGAAAACTTAGAATTATTCCTTCTAGGGCATTCTCTACTTCAAAAGCTTTCTGGGAGATAATTTTTTCAGAAGAGCTAGTTTGTTTTACATAGGATAAGAATAAAATCATCGAAAAGAAAGGAGAATTCTTTACAATAGGAAGTAGATCAAACTGGAAAGATGAACAGTATCACTGTGGGTTTTAGAAAATGGAGAGCAAGATGAACTTGTGTTTGGAATGGTGTGACATTTTGGCACTACAAACCAATAGAGATGACTGCTAGTACTGTATTTTAGTTTGGTCTGAAGGTTTTTTTTTATCAAACTAGTCATAAATCTGTACTGCTGAAGTGATTGGTTGTTAGAACATAGGAATTTGAGTCTCCCTGGGTTTTGAATTTTCTTTCTCTCCCTTGCAGTCTGATTCACACACTAGTTCTCCCCCCCCCTTTTTTTTTATCGGTACCGGGGATTGAACTCACGACCACTTGCTTGCAAGGCAGGTGCTTATGCTGCTGAGCTAAATCCCCAGCCCCTAGTTCCCCCTATTTTTTTGGTGCTGGGGTTGAACCCAGGACATTGCATGTGAACTTCTACCCTCAGCTCACCCCACCCGCTGTTTTTAAGATGGTAGACTTTGGGCAAGCACTGTATGTTAACTTTCCTTTTCCCATGTAGATACAGTTGCTACCTGTATTTAATAGTTACAGAAGTTAATTCACTTAAGTACCTAGCAATCACTAAGATATAATCAGTGTTTCATTGTTATTTATTGCTGATTCTGTAACTGAACTGTGAAGTTGCTTGTACTGTATATATGTGTACATATGTTTAAAACTGTTTACCAGTAGCATGCAGAGCAGAAACATATTCTATATTCTAAAATCCGGAGAGGGCCCTTTCTGTTTTTGTGTCAAAAGAGGAAGTAGTTTTGGAGAAAGTTGTATGTTCTTTTTAATACTTGAGCCTGTTCCTCAAAACCAAAGGTAGGTAGAATATGTAATACTTTATATAGAATTTCTAGATTTAAACGGTGTAATTTTTCCTCTCCAGGTTGAGACTGAGCTAAAGTTAATCTGTTGTGACATTCTGGATGTACTGGACAAACACCTCATTCCAGCAGCTAACACTGGCGAGTCCAAGGTTTTCTATTATAAAATGTAGGTTCTATAGCAGAAGGTAAAATAAAATATGAAAAGTTGGCCTTCTTAAAATCATGACTTTTTCTGTGTAGGCTCTCAGTTTTCGTTTAAGAATAATGTTGAAAGGTTAGTTACACAAGATGAGTGAGTCTGAAAAGTTAAAAAGATTTGGGGCTGGGGATTTAGCTCAGCGGCATAAGCGCCTGCCTTGCAAGCAGGCGGCCGTGAGTTCGATCCCCGGTACCGATAAAAATGAAAAAGACAAAAAAAAGTTAAAAAGATTTAATGCACATTTGTAAATTTACCAATAATGAGTTATTGTTGCATTAAAGGTTGCCAGACTGTAATAAAAATGTACTATTAGCTTCTTGTTTTACCCATGTAGTTTTCTTTTGCTTTTGTGGGTTCCTCACCCATAGCTATACCTATACATTTCACAGTGTAATCTTTTTGTGTAGAAATTTTATTTTTAGGGCTAGGGATTGTAGCTCAGTGGTAGAGTACATGCTTAACATGCTTGAGACCCTGGGTTCAATCCCAAGCAGTGCAAAAAGAAAAAATTTTAAATTTATTATTCTTTTCTTTAAAATAACTTTTCTTACTTAATTGTAGCATATTAGGTGATTTCGTTGCTAAGTTAATTTCTCTTAAGAGTGTTCTGAGAGTTGATAATATGAAACCTCTAAGGGAAAAAGCTAAGTAGATATGACACTCCTGAGTTCCTAAAAATGATTATGATCTGTTAATTGTTAAATACATCTTAATTATATTTACTTCATATAGTACAGAAAATTTGGTAGCAGTTTATTTTCCTTTTAATATTATTTCTGATTATGACTTTGTTTTTATTTTGTTGTAGGAAAGGGGACTACCACAGGTATCTGGCTGAATTTGCCACAGGAAATGACAGGAAGGAGGCTGCAGAGAACAGCCTAGTGGCTTATAAAGCTGCTAGTGATATTGCAATGACAGAACTTCCACCAACGCATCCTATTCGTTTAGGTCTTGCTCTCAACTTTTCCGTATTCTACTATGAAATTCTTAATTCCCCTGACCGTGCCTGCAGGTAAGCCAGAGAACAACAAAAGCTCTCAGTTTGAAGTAAAAGGGTTCCAGAAGGTTAGAATAGTTGCTTATTTCTCTTTCTTGCTTTGGTTTTTTGTCTCGTCCATTGGGATTACTCTTGTTGACTCAGTCACATAAGTATTGTTTTACTGAAACTGCTTTGAGAAATTTAAAGGCAGACCTTTGCAACCCACTAGCATAGAAGTTAGGATGATTGTGTTAATGGACTCTAACATACTGTAATGTTGTGCATGGGAGAGGAATTTTGGCTTTGTAGTTTTTTTTTTTTTTTGTACAGAGGATTGAACTCATGATCTTGTGCTTGCCAGGCAGGCACTTATGCTACTAAACTAAATCACCAGTCTCAGGAGAGGATTTTGATAAAATCAATTCAGTTTTTGTGTATTAGTCTTTTCTTTCTTTCTTTTTTTTTTGTCTTTTTCTTTTTTATCGTTACCGGGGATCGAACTCACGACTACCTGCATGCAAGGCAGTTGCCTATGCTGCTGAGCTAAATCCCCAGCCCCTAATTTTCAGTCTTTATGGACAAGCTTTTTTGGGAAGTGGGAGATGGTCCTCATTAGTGGGAATTGGATCCAGACAAAGCACACCTTTATCCTGTTGCTGTAGGTTTTTGCTAAATTGCCTAAACTGGCCTTGAATTGGCTATCTTCCTACCTTAGTCTCAGAGAGTAGGTATTACTTAGGCTGTACTGCTATGCCTTACATAGGCATTCTTTTAATAAGCTACTCTCTTAGTGAATGTCATTTTGTAATTTTCATTTGTTACGGAGTTTTTGTCTGTGTGTTCCGATGTGCTAGAGACTGAACTAGAGACTTTGTCTGCTAGATTATGTTCTCTCTCTCTCTCCTCACCCCTTCCCTTCCTTCTCCCTCCTTTCCCTCTCACTGTGGATTGCAGGCAAACTTTTTCACCTGTTAGCCATGTTTTTTGTTTTCACATAATATTTTACCTCATAGATGTAAATTAAATGATTTTTTTTCACTTTTACTTTGCCTTATTCTTAGTTTTTGTTACTGTAGCTCCAAGTTCAATGAATGTCTTTAAAATTATATTAAAACTGGGTTGTGGTGTTGTATGCCCTTTTTTTAAAATTTTCTGTATTTTTTTCTTTTTGCAGATTTTTTTTTTTTTTTTTTTTTTTTTTTTGGTCTTTTTTTACCTTTTTATTGGTGCCGGGGATCAAACTCACGACTGCCTGCTTGCAAGGCAGGTGCTTATGCCGCTGAGCTAAATTCCCAGCCCCATTTTTGCAGAATATTTATTAAGGTTGTTTAATATACAGCTTTTCATGTCATTCTGTAAGTCCTTCACTATAAAGATAATTCTTTTGTCTGATGACAAACAGCAGCCACAATCATTCTGGACTTCCACGTTGGATAAACTCCATTTCCTCTTGAGATATTAGTTTCCTTCTGTATTTCTGAGGTAGTGTTTTTAGTATTTCTGCAGTGTCTAGTGGACCTGGATGTATCAGCATCTCTGGTGATTTACTCCCCTTAGAAGGCTGTGAAATTACAGAAGAGTGAGATGGGATCCCTGCTGATCTCAAAGCTTCTAATACACTGGGTTTAGGATTGTCTCTTCTATCAAGGAACCTTATTAATGGTATATGTGGCTTGACTACCTGGGCGACCCGGCTGGCAGACGCCATCTTGACCCCGGGAAGGGGCAGCTTCAGTGGTGTATGCCTTTAATCCCAGCACTTTGGAGGCTGAGGCAGAAGGATCATTGTGAGTTATAGGCCAACTGAACTACCTTCCTCAAAATCTGAATGAATGAATGAAAAAATTTTACTATTACAGTCTTTTTTTCCTTAAATGAGACCTTTTCATTAAGCTATATCCCCAACCCTATTTTCATTTTTTTGTACTGGGAATCAAACTCAGGACCTTACACTTACCAGGCAGGTGCTGTGCCACTGAGCTATATCCCCAGCCTCATTTTTTGAGATAGGGTCTCAGTTGCTTAGACACTACTTGAACTGTGTGTCCTTGTGTCTTATTCTCCTAGTGTGGCATTACAAGCAAGCACTACAGCACCTGGTTTTATTGTAACCATTTTAAGATCATAATACTCCTGAGCCAGGTGGCGCATACCTTTAATCTGAGCACTCAGAGGAGAGGACTGCCATGAGTTTCAGGCAGTCTTGGCCTACATAGTGAGTTCAAGGCCAGTGTGAACTACATAGTGAGACCTGTCTCCAAACAAAATAAAACAAAAGGTACAGGACATACTCAGTACTATATGTTCACAGTGTTGTAGAACTGTTACCAGTGGTTCTGTTTCAGAACCTTTTCATCACCCTACCAAAACCAAACTTTTAACTACTGAGTACTTTTAACTATTGAGAACTTTTAACTCCCCATTTACCCCCCAACCCCTGTCCCTAGTATACCCCACTTTACATTGTCTCTAAATTTGCCTGGTGTAGGTATTTCATATGAGTATGAAATACGCATATATGTATGAAATAAACATGCAAAATACCTTATTTCAATCAGCATGTTTCCAGAGTCATTTGTGCATTAAAGTTTCACATCCATTCTATAAATATTTGTCTTAGGTATTTGACACGTATTGTGTTTACTCATTCTTTTTTTTTTTTTTTTTTTTTTTTTTTGGTCTGTGTGAGACAGGCTCTCATTATGCAGTTCAGGCTGGCCTGGGCTCACTTTGTAATCCAGGAACTTGCAACACTCCTCCCGCCTCAAGCCTCTGGAGTGCTGGGATTACAGGAATGCACCACCGTGCCCAGCTTCATTTATCTTTTTTGTTGGATAGCTGTGCTTCTTCTTACCATTTGTCTTCCTAATTGTTGGGGCTTATAAGCATTGGCACACAAAATCTTTGAATCCCAGTTTTTCAGCCTTACCTAGGAGATTTACTGGATCATGGTAATTCTGTGATTTTATTTCATTTTATTTTTTGTGGTACCAGGGATTGAACTCACAACCTCATGCTTGCCACGCAGATGTTATGCCACTGAACTAAATCCCTGGCCCTGTGCTTGTATTTTAATCACCCTTCCATCCTTACTGAGGATTGAACTGAGCTGAGCTTGAATTTGCTATTTTCCTGCCTCAGCCTCCCAGAGTGCTACAATTATTAGAAGCATATACCATAGAGTAGTTTTTTGCGAATGCTGTGCCATTCTTACATTCCCACCAGCAATATATGTGAGTTCTGGTCTCATTATGATTTTGATTTGCATTTCTCTGATCAGTAGTATTGAGCATATTCTCATTTTCTCATTGATAATTTGCGTAGCTTTCCTGGTTTTTTTTTTTTTTTTTTGGTTTTGTTTTGTTTTGTTTTTGATATTTTGATCTTTTTGGGACAAGGTCTCCCCTTGTGCAATTCAGGCTGGCCTTGAGCTCACTTTGTAGTCCAGCCTTACAGTGATGTTCCTGCCTCAGCCTTATGAGTGATGAGATTATAGGTGTGTGTTACCACATGTGGTGCTTTCTTACAACTTTTTTGAAGAAGTGCTGTTTGTCTGTTCTTTGTTTTTTTTTATGTTGAGATATAAGAATTCTTTGTATATTCTAGATATTGATCTTACTGGCTAAATGATTTCTCCTAGTGGTTGTCTTGATACTGTGTCATGATGCAAAAAAGTTACAAATACTATAAGCTCAGTTTCTTTTTTTAAATTGGTTTTTGGAGACAAGGTTTTGCTATGGAGTGCAGGCTGGCCTCAAACTCTTAGAGATCCTCCTAACTCAGTCTCCTGAGTGCTGGAATTATAAGTATGCGTCATTGCCCCTGTTGTATCTTGCCCCCCCCCTTTTTTTTGTTTATTTCCTGTGCTTTGACATGTAAGCAGTCATTGCCAGGGCTGGGGATTTAGCTCAGTGGCATAAGCACCTGCCTTGCAAAGCACAGTTGTGTACCAATTTAAAAAAAAAAAAAAAAAAAAAAAAGCAGTCAATGCCAAATGCAGTGGTTTTTTTTGTTTGTTTATTTTTTGTGTGTGTGGTACAGGGGCTCAAACTCACAACCTCATGCTTGCCAGGCAGGCTCTTATGTTGCTGAGCTAAATTCCCAGTGCTCAAATGCAGTATTATGAAGGTTTTCCCTTATACTTTTTTCCAAGTATTTCATAGTTTTAGGTCTTTGATCATGTTTGTTTTGTTCTTTTGGGGGACACTACTTAGGAATGAATCTAGGACTTGTGTATACAATGCAAACCCTTTACCACTCTGCTATGTCTGTAGCCCCTTTTGTTTCTGGCCTCAAATTTAGACTGTTTCATCTTCCTCAGTAACAGGTTACAAGTAGATGCATCATACCTGATGTGATCTTTTGTGCGTGTATGTGTTTACAGGAACGGCTGCTGTCCACTTTGAATTTATTTTTGTATTCATGTAATGGTCCCCTTTCATGTAATGCATGTAGATACCCAGTTTCCTCAACATATGTTGAAGATTGCCTTTTGTCATTGGTTTTGGCATCCTTTTAGAAAACCAACTGCCTGTATTTGTGTGAGAGTTTATTTCTGGGCTTTGTATTGTGTTTATAGCTTATTTTGTTTTGTTGAGTAAAGTTCCTTAGCTGTATATCAGGAATAGCTGAAATATATATATTTTTCTTGGTACTGGGAATTGATCTCAGTACCTTGAGCTTCCCAGGCAGGCACTATGTCACTGAGCTATATCCCTGACTCTTGAAATACTTTTCAACCACCAGTCATAAAGTATTTTTGGTTATATATTGTTGGATATTTTGTATATTTATTTGTTAGGCAGTGCTGGCAGTTAAACCAATGACTTCATGCACACTAGACAAAGTACTCTACCATTGAGCCATATGCTTTTTTTCATCCCTGGCCCTTCCATATTCTTGATTATGTAAGAATTAGATGTTCCATGCAGAGCAATTTTCTTGATACAAGGTGGGTTCGCTTCAGTACATTGCAGTGTTGATTCATCTATAAAAACATCTAAATGGCAAATTGAGCTTTTGAATAGACTGTAACCAAGAGTCTTACAGCTGTTAAGCTAATAGCACTACTGAGTTAATATTTCACTGTTCTCCAGTTTAAGTCACTTGCATTACTTTTGCTTCAATCAGAAGTGTAGGTGGGTGTGGAGGTGTACACCTGAAATCCCAGTACTTGGGAGGCTGAGGCAGGAGGATTGTCTTGAGTATGAGTCCAGCCTGTTGGCTACATGATGAGTTCAATACTAGCCTGAAGCAGCCTTGTCTTTAAAATACTGAAGTGTACTCTTTTTACTTTCCCATGTTACTTCTTCTCTTGGGTTTCTGAAATAATTTCTTTTTTATGAAATAATTTCTTTGAAATAGCACTTCATTCTTGCTTTGTCACTCACCCACTTTGCACACACCCACACCCACGGAATTGAACCCCAGGGTTTATACACTGAGCTACATCCTCAGCTCTTTATTTTTTGAGACATGATCTTGCTATCTTGTCCAGGGTGGCCTTTAGTTTGAAATCCTGCCTCAGCTCCACAGTGCAGGAGGTACAAGTATGCATTGTCATACCTGGCTCCTCTTTTCATTGTTATGTTGTTAACCTGATAGTCTTCATCACTAAATGTTAAAACATACCAAGTGGCCTCTACAGTCACATATTCATGAAGTCTATGTTGCCTTTTCTCCCTTCCTTGCCTCCTTAACATGTTAAATTCTTTTTAAACTTCAAGATGAAGTCCAAGATTTTGTCTCCTCACCTTAGGTTTGTCCCTTTTTCTCTCTTTCTCTTTTTTCCCTTCAGTGGAACTCCAGGCCTTCACAGTGGACTTTATATCCAATCTTTTTTTAAGTTTTGAGTTTTAATTTGTCTGACTGGGCTGGAATTTTATATCCTTCTGCCTGGGCCCTATATTCATATCCTCTGTCTTTCTCTTTTCTCTCTCACTCACAAACTGTCATTAAAGATAGGAAAAAAAAAAAACAGGCCCTGAGTTTGGGCCAGAAAAAGAACTATACAGTATAAGGGTGGGTCATCATGCGAGAAAACACTTGTGGTCCAAGTTTTTATTTTTGCATTAAAATTGCATAAGTAGGGAGGGAAAAAAAACCCCAGTGTATTATGTAAAGGTACAGATTCCCTATAATCAGTGTGATCATTGTGTGTATCTAGAATGTACCAATAAATTTTTTCCATCTTCTTTTTTTTTTGGTTTTCTTCCTTTTTATTGGTACCAGGGATCAAACTCACGACTGCCTGCTTGGAAGGCAGGCGCTTATGCCGCTGAGCTAAATCCCCAGCCCCCTATCTTCTATTTTATTTTTTGAGATAAGGTCACTGTATAGGCTGGCCTTGAACTTACCATGTAACCCAGGCTGGCCTCAAATTCATAGTGATCCTCTTGCCTCAGTCACCTATACGCTGGGATTACAGGTGTGTAATCCTGCCTGGCCCAATAAGTTAAAATTTAAAAAACAATATATAAACTGGGTGTGGCAATGCATGCCCTTAATCCTAGCATTCTGGGAGGCTGAGACAAGAGGATTGCAAGGTCAGCCTGAACTGTAGTGATGAGACTCTGTCTCAAAAAGACAAAAAAATGATGTACGTGAATTTTGAATAGAATTTGAGAAGTACCTTTTTATGTGTATATTCTGGTAGTTTTCAGGTGAAATTTGATCTGCGTGTTCTTTTAGCCTGTCATTGATAATAGTCCAGTACAAAGTATGGGTGTATAATTCCAGCTACTCAGGTGACGGAGCAGAATGGTTGAAAAGTTAAGGTCAGTGTGTACTACTTAGCTAGAAACAATTCAGACTAAAATAGAAAAATGGAAAGGGTGACTAGGAGTGCTCAGTGGCAGGGTGCTTGGCTCAGTGTGGCTCAGTGTGCTGGGTCCTGGATTTGATCCTGATGGCAGGAATTGAGGATTGGGTTAGGATGTGGGGTCTCACATAGCCCAGGCTAGTCTCAAAGTCATGGTGATCTTCCTGCCTCAGCCTCCTAAGTGGTGTGATTATAGACGTGTGCCTTCACACCTGTTATAAGTGTGTTAATTCTGAGTTACTTTTTGTTGCCATACCTGGGTTTTTTTGATAGATCATTGTTACCATAATACACTCACATAAACTAGATGGATCGCTAGTTTTGGACTTGTTGAGTTCATTTTTGTAAAATATTTACTACTTTTAGGTTGGCAAAAGCAGCTTTTGATGATGCAATTGCAGAACTGGATACACTGAGTGAAGAAAGCTATAAGGACTCTACACTTATCATGCAATTGTTACGTGATAATCTGACACTATGGACTTCAGACATGCAGGGTGACGGTAAGCAAACTTGAAATGAAATGATTGTCTTTCAATTACCATATAATGTATTCTTCAGAAATTTTAGTATTTGTATCAAGCTATAATTTAGATGAATTGCTATTATAAACTATCACATTTTAATTGCTGCTTTTATAGGAAATGGTATCAGTATAGTCTTCTGTTTCGGGGTTTGAGATGACAAAGTAAAAGACTTGTTTAGAAAAGTGAAATCTTAACATTTAAAACTTTTGCTTTAGTAATTTGTTAAACTCAGTTTTTTTTTCCCCTCCCATACCATGTTTTGAAGGTTGAGGACAAGAAAGATGGGAGAAAAAGCAGTTTAGAGTTGGGTTGAGGTTAATTTTATTTAAAACTAGGTGAATTGTCTTTCCTATGTGGAAATACTCTATATAAAAAGGGATTCATTTCCCTATTGGACTACAGGGAAATGAACTGTAACCCTAACCCTAGGTCTGTCAGGAGGCCTCCCTTCCTCGTTCCCTCCCTTGAGACAAGAGTATTGCTGTGTAATTATTAGACTGGCCTTGAATTTGTAGCAATCTTCCTGCCACAGTCTCCCAAGTGCTGGGGTTATAGGCATGTACCACCATGCCTGATCCTGGGAGATCTAATGCAGGCTGGTTTTACTTCTGGTAGATTTTCAAATGTAAACTGTTGCTGGATTACATTATAGAATCTAATTTGGCAAACACATGCAAATTTTTACTTTAATTTTAGAAGTTCAAATTTGTCATGTTCATTGTATCCTATTTCAAAAAATACTCCCCCCCCCCCCCCCCCCCGCGCCTTTTGGTGCCAGGGATTTATGTTTTGTGCTTGCTTAGTTTGTGCTATGCTCCTGAGCTATATATCCATAGTCCCCAGAGATCATTTTTACCTGTGGTAGTTTATTGACAGATGCAGAGAAGAGGACAAACTAGTGTGCTGTGATCAAGAGACAGGTTTTTAGTTGGTGTGGTGGTTGCAGTAGAGTTTGAAAGGAAGAATTTTGTCAGTTTTAGTTGCCTTTCCTTTAAGAGCTGGAGTATATGTGACATTCATTGCTTTAGACTCAGCACATTCTCTGTTCAAACCATGCTGTGCTCTTTGGGAATATTATATATACTTGTAAAAGGTGACTGAAAGTATGTGTGCTATCACATTGTTTCCTCAGAAAGAGACTTAAGTTGTAATTGTAGATTATGGTGCTATCATGAAAATTAGGTGAATTCCCCCTGCCCCTTTTTGGTCTTTTTGAGACAGGGTCTCGCTATGTAGTTCAGGCTAGTCTTGAGCTCACTTTGTAGCCCAGGCTGGTCTTGAACTCACAACCATCCTCCTGCCTGAGAATTTGTAAATCTTTATGAGGTGTGTTTATGTGTTTGACAGGATCAGGATTGGCACAAGAGATGTGACATGTGACCTACTCTGACACTTTTCCAACAGTCAAATGGAACCATAGATACAGTACTATTCATACAGCACTTTAGACAACCATCTGTAGTCATTGGAGCCTAGAGGCACTTTACTGCCTCTAATCAAATAACTTAGTTTTCTTCTATCTTAACATCCTGTTGTGTTTTAACAGTAACTATCAAGAATGGCTAGATACTGCGGCAGACTGTACATAGTCGCTCCACAGCTCAGAGAAGACTAGTACCACATCTCTGTTTTAATTTCCGTTTCGTTTTAACTGGGAATCATATTCAGGACCTTGTGCTACCAGGCAGGTGTCATACCGCGGAACTGAATCCTTGGCCTACATTTCTGTTTTTGAGAAAATAAAAGGAAAACACGTAGTGGAGAGGCTTGTTAAATAGTAATTGCTTTGTCCTATGTGAATTATACCTTGCCCATTTTTGGAGATGTGTACAGCAGTTTTTTATTTCTTTATTTTTTTTTCTTGTTACTGGGGATCAAACTCACAACCTTGCACTTGCCAGGTGGACTCTATGCTGCTGAGCTAAATCCCTGGTCCACATATATAGTATTTAAGGGTGCAGGTAACAGAGGTGGACTTGGGTTGTGTAATGCCTTTTTAAAAACATTAGCTAACTTAGGTTGCTAATTAGTGAAATTTTTATTTCACTTTATTTTTGGTACTGGGATTTGAACTCAACACTTACTAGGCAGGCACTATGCCAGTGAGTTGTATCCCTGGCCCAAATTTTTATATTTTCTTTAAAAAACATTAAAAATATTTTTATATTCTCTTTAAAAAACATTAAAAATATTTTTTATATTTTCTTCTTTAAAAATATTTGTATTTTCTGATTCTGCTCTAGGTCGTTTTCACTGATAGCCACTAATTGGTCAATCAAGAAAAATGTTTCGGGGGCTGGGGATTTAGCTCAGCGGCATAAGCACCTGCCTTGCAAGTAGGCAGTCGTGAGTTCGATCCCCGGTACCGATAAAAAGGAAAAAGACAAGAAAAAAAGAAAAATGTTTCATATTTAAACAGAATACAGTTGTATTCTCTTTTTTTGGTCTTTTTCCTTTTTATCGGTACCGGGGATCGAACTCAAGACTGCCTGCTTGCAAGGCAGGCGCTTTTATACAAAGTTGTTACATTTTAACAGGTTTATCTCTAATTCTGGAACAGTTTTAATCTAGAGAAATCTGGTTTTAACTCATTCACACTATAAAATTGATTAAATTTTATTGAAACATTTCCATTTAAAATTTACTAAATTAGATAGCTTTAGTTTAAAATACTTGCAGTGAAGAAACATGGTAGTGTTTTGTTTTGTTGTTTTAGACTGGGTCTCATTATATAGTTCAGGATGGCCTTGAATTCACTGTGTAACCCAGGCTAGGTTTGGGTTTACAGTAATCTTTTTGCCTCAGCCTCTAGTGCTGGGACTACAGGTATGCAGAACAGCATGGTAGTTTAACAGTGCAAGCACTTGCGTTTTCTCTTAAAACGGGAACTAGGAAATTATTTACCAGTTTTGCTAAAATGGATTATACTACATGTAAATTTGTTTTGTGATACAGAGTCAATGTTAAGTAATGAAAAACTTGTTACTGAATTGGTAATTTTTAGAATATTACTTTCATTAGTTTATGGATCATTTAGATGGTTGTCTCTTTTTATTGGCTATGAAAAAGTATCAAAATATATTGAATTGAAGATTTCTGAAGAAATACTTTTTCAGAAACGTATGTCTTAGTACTGCAGAAAAATATTGTTTGTTAAAGTACATTGAGTCATCAATATTCAAAGGGATCATTGCTTTTTCCTCAACAATTTCTGATCTTTTCTCTGACCATAAGAGAAATATTTCATTTTGTTTTCTCTGCCAGTCTTTTCTCCCTTGGGGGAAAAATAGAAACAATGGGCAAAGAAATGCCTATCAGGGAAGTTCTTTTTCTCCTTTCTGTACCTTTAAAGAGAGTATTATCACATTTTAGTAGTAGTAAAAGGAAGGGTTGGACAGATTATTTCTTAGACTAAATTCTATACAAAATACAAAACTAAAATCTGATGACTGTATCATTGATGTTTTCCTTTGTCCTGCTCTTGGTTTACTTTTCTTGTAATGTTGCTTTCATATGATTGTTCTCCCTCCCTTTCTCCTTGCAATATAGATTCCTAAAGGAAAATCCAACTCTTCCTTTCCTAAAAACTCTACTTTGTAAGTCATTATCATGGCACAGTGAACTTTGCTTTTAGTTTTGGTTCTTCACTAATCATGCCTGCCTTATTTATCCTGTTGCTTATAAAACTGGCTGTTCTACATTCCAAGGTGCTAAACCTTCTAAGACATCTATTATGGCCTGCTACTCCTGCCTATGTCTGGTTGGATATGACTTACATGATAAAGTGGCTTATGTGACTTTTATGCCAAAGTTATTTGAAACTTTTGGCAAAGCAGTAAGCTTATGGATGAGTTACAGTGGGTTCTAGTGTTGTATATTAACTGTACTTTGGAAGTGTACTTCTGTTAAAAATACGAACGAATGTGATCTTTCTTGTTTCCCAAGTTTGAATATATTATTGTTCTTTGGGGAACAGTTGGCTATCTCTCACTTCTGTCTTGATGGTTATTTTTGTCTTGCATGTTCTTTTGTATATTACAAGTCAAAAATCTTTGTGCTTGAAGTAACACTTCATAGTTACCTACCAGTGCTAAACATTTTTTATTATGAGAGATTTTAATGCTACAATAACATTATTTTCATATTAAAGGTTTAAAAGTTATTCTGAGTGAAAACACTTCATGTTTGTAGGAGGCCAGTCTTAGTGTTATGTGTCTGTCTTGATTAAACAATATATCAAGGATTATGAGTTGGTGGGTGTCATTTCAACTATTAAAATTTTTTTATAGTTTAGATAGGGTCTAATATTTTTATGAGGTACTAGGGATTGAAACCAGGACCTTGTGAATGTTAAGCACACACTCTGCTACTGAGCTATATATCCCCCCACTATTAATTGGTTCTTGATTTTTTTTCAGACTATTAACTAGAAATTATATGTAATTTGTTTAAAGTACAAAAGAATATAATTTTTTACTTAAGCCTCTGCATGCTTTATTATGGCTGACTTGTTCAATGCTTAAGGTAGATGACCTTCCAGTTGAACAGACTGGCTTTCTATTGTTGCATGTCATAGTGCAATTGAAACTCCTTAGGCTAATTGTTATGTACAGAGAGAAAAGAGAAACAGCATGAGAAAACTGGTCCAAATGCCCTTTTTAAATAACCTCAGTAATCTGGTACTTTGAGCATGCAGTTGCACTGTGAAGTGAGGAATCTGGCTGTAGTTTGATATATATGATCAAGATACAAAATACTGAATGTTTATTTACAACAGCAGATTATCCACCACTGCCACGACAAAAACACTATAGATAGAATGCCTTTGGCACGTTTTACTGCTCAGTTCACTTTTTCGAAGCATTTCTGATAACTGAGCAAAATACTCTGATTTTTGAAGAGGTGAGGTTATTGAGAAAGAGTATTTTGACCCAAGATATACATGAAAGCTTGAAAGTCAATTTTAAAATACAGTTACTTTGGCTGTACACTTCAAGAGCTTTTTAAAGCATTAAAACATTGACTTTGTGCATCAGATCCCTCCCCCCCTTCATTTTGACTATTAACAATTTCAGGATCATGATCAACAGCCCTTTTCGGTTTGGACATCTCAGGTGTGAAGCATACTAGAAGGCCTTTTGCCTGTGTCTGTGTTATAACAGCTGTAGCAAATAGAGAGTCCTTAGGACATGTTTGTGACTACTATAGTCTGAGTTAATCAATATGAAATAATTTTGTCTTCTTGTAGGTGAAGAGCAGAATAAAGAAGCGCTGCAGGATGTGGAAGATGAAAATCAGTGAGACATAAAAGCCAATAAGAGAAACCATCTCTGACAACCCCACTCCTCCCCATCCCACCCCTTGGAGAGTCCCCATTGTCACTGAGAACCACCAAATCTGACTTTTACATTTGGTCTCAGAATTTAGGTTCCTGCCCTGTTTTTTTTTTTTTTGTTTTTTTGTTTTTTTGTTTTTTTTTTTTTTTTTTTAAACAGTTTTCAAAAGTTCTTAAAGGCAAGAGTGAATTTCTGTGGATTTTACTGGTCCCAGCTTTTAGGTTCTTTAAGACACTAACAGGACTGCATAGAAGCTTTTTCAGCATTACTGTATTGTCTGCGTGCCAGATGTGGCAAGATCACCATTAGAAATGGAGATTGTATTTGAAAGCCATTAGACTTCTAGGTGATGCATCTAAGAGAGAGTGATCATACTGTAGAGATGTGGTATCATTTTTCCCTTTTCTAATTGTTTAAATTACATTTTATACCAATGTTTAAACTTAATTGGGTGTTAGCTTGAGGCGGTTAAAGGTTGTTTTGGGGGGAGTTTGTTCCAATGGTTTTGCTATAAAAAAGTGTTTTACACTCTGCTGAAATGTTGCTGAAAAGCATGGTGCTGGTAACAGTTCAACAATCCGTGGCTGCTCATTCTTGCCTACTTTACTCTCCCTCTGAAGCAGGTAGCATTGAAGGTGGTATGGAAAAGCCTGCATGCGTGTTCAGGTCTTTGTTTCTTCTTCCCTCTTTCCCTCTGCCCCTCCCCCACTTCGCTCGCTCACCCTCTTTTGTTCAGTATGTGTAACTTGAAGCTAATTTGTACTACTGGATATCTGACTGGAGCCACAGATACAGAATCTGTATTGTTCTTACTGAAACACAGCATGGAATTAACATTAAACTTAAATAAAACAAACCTAAATTAAAAATGCCAAATATACTGCGCCTTCATCCTTTACACTTCTAAAATAAAATCTTTAGTTCAAACACTTTTGACAGTATTATATTTGCCTGAATGTGAAAAAAACCTCCCCTCTTTCTTCCATAAATCATGTCTCTTTCTCCCCAAGATGTATATTTTGGAAAAAATACTGCCTGTAATCTGGATGTGAAGAACACTAAGTAATCTAAGTCAATTGATTATATGTCCTGTTTCCAAATCAGTTAGTAACACAATATTTATGTTAATCATTAAAGTACAATGTGTATATTTAACATAAGGTGTAATTATGGGTCATTTTCTACCATGGAATTTTGGGGGTGTGGAGCCACTTACGGCTGACTCTGTCAGTATAATCCACTTTGGTTGTGGTAAATGGTATGGGCTTTTCCTGAAAAGATGAGTGGTAAAACCAGTGAATAATCCATTCTCAATATTTTACCTTCCCAGAAAACTCAATGTTGTAGTGTCTTCCCGAGATACTGGAGTTTATACATCAGTGTAACTGGGAATTGAACCCAGGACCATTCCACCAGTCTATTTCCCCAAACCTTATTTTTTGAGACTGGGTCTAACCAAGTTACCCAGGCTGGGCTCAAGCTTGCCATCTTTTTGGTCTCAACTTCCCAGTGCTAGGGCCTGGGGATTTAGCTCAGCGGCATAAGCGCCTGCCTTGCAAAGCACATGGTCGTGAGTTCGATCCCTGGTACCGATTTAAAAACAAACTTCCCAGTGCTAGAATTAAAAGTATGCACCACCATGCCCAGTTCAGTTTATTATTTTAGACAAGTTGTTTCCAGCCTTGCTATTATAAAAACAAATTCTACCATTGCAGTGGTTTTTGTGTATTTGGGTGTATATCTGTAAGATAATTTCTAGATTTCCTGTGTCTGAAAGCAGGACTTTTCTGTTAGCAAATGCTTCTTCACATGTGACTGTAAAACAAGATGTTGATGTAGTTGCATATATTCCAGGCTTGATAACAAAGGTTTAAGAAACTAGGCCGGGGATTTAGTTCAGCGGCCTAAGTGCCTGTCTGGCAAGCATGAGGTCTTGAGTTTGATCTCCAGTACCCAAAACCAAAAACACAAAACAGGGGAATGATATCCTGATAGTTTTCATTTTAAGTATGTGCTAACAGTTAAGTGTTTTTGTGAATTGCTTTACTACCAAATAATAGGAGACAGTTGTATATAAATCATTCTCCACTGTTCATTTAGAGCAACTGTGTGGTTTATAGGTTGATTGGTTCTGTTTCCTCTATTACATGCCTCATACCTGCCTGATGCAGTGAAAGCCAAACATTCTGTCCCAGGTTTTAAAGCACTCAAAGGATTAGTAGTGTTTTACAGGCAGCTCCCACACTGAACACTAGCCCAGGCTGGCCTCAGATTTGAGATGGTCGTCCTGCCTCAGCCTCCCCAGGTGCTGGGGTTGTAGGCATGTATCACATCCAGCATGAAAAATGTTTTAAACCTAGAGGCTTTCTAAAACTTGCTTCCAAAAACAGCTTGTTATACATGTAACAAATTTATACCTTTGCTTTAAGATGTGTGTCTTGGATGGCAAATCTTCAAGGTTATATTTTGAAGATGGGAATTAGTTTTTAACTGTTCACTGAAATGAGAAATGGAAGTGTAAAACATCTGACATTGGTCCTCAACCGTGTCATTAAAAGGATCCTAAATTAGCTGCTGTGCATGGATGCTGGCACTGCGTAGTAAACATACTACGAAATGGAGATAAAGGCAGACTGATTTTTGTAACAATAGAATTCTGAAGTGAGTCATTAAAAAGACCATTATACCTTTAGAAGTGACTCCAATCTGAAAGGGGAACATGTTCATCTCTGTAGAGTTACTTGGATTTAATTGATGTAACCGATTCTTAGTTAACATTGACTTGTCAACTGTGCTCCGTGTATACCAGGCACTGTGTCACTTCTGTACTGCTTCAGGCGTCTAGCTTACAGCTTAAGAGTAATCAGGTGAGTTGCTGCCTGCATTCTGCACGTAGGAAGGCTCAGTAAGCAGACATGGAACTTGCCCAAAGGCACACCGCTGTTTTATAGAATTCAGTTTTCCTAAGACTAAAAAGCCAACATTACTTAACCATTATTAAGTCAGCCTTTGTTGTCGGGTCTTGCTGTATTTAAACATTGCATTTTTAATCACTTTTATTTCTTTTTGGGTTATTGAGACAGGGTCTTGCTATGTAGTTCAGGCTGACTTTGGCCTCGGTTTATTAGCCCAGGCTCACCTCTAATTCATGGTGATTCTCCTGTTTTAACCTCTCAAGTACTGAGATTACAGGCATGCTCAGCCATGCCCATTGTGTAGAAACATTTAAGTAGATTGTTACAAATACTTTAACAAGTCTAAAGGGCTGTATGCTTATTAGCTAGTAGGTCATAGTTGAATATGAATATTTGAGGTTCTTAACATGGCTTCTGCCTAAAATGATTAATTAGTGATTAAGTCCTCACTTTTTAAAAGCTAATTTGAAGATTAAAATTCATTTTTACACTTAGCAGTTGTTTCAATTTAAAGACAGTTTAAGAGCATTTGGGAGACTGAGGCAAGCGGGATCACCATGACTGAGGCCAGCCTGAATTCTGTAGTGAGACCCTGTTTTAAAAAAAAGTTAAAAGTCACTTCCTAGTTATAAATGGGTGTTTCCTGAATGGCATATTTTCTGTGACAAGTCCCCCAGTGGCATATAAATGATCAGGTAATGCTTTTCCTCTCCAGCCACCAGATTTCTTCAATAGGGCTGAATCCTGTGGCAAGGGGTTAGTAATGAAGTAGTAGGGTTACTCTATTCATAGTAGTTTGGAGGTTGATCAGTGAGTCGTATTCTACAACTGAATAAATCCTCATCTGCCAAGACATTAAATCAACGCAGATGGGGTGAGGTTGGTGACACTGGAATTTTTTTTTTTTTTTTTTCCAGACGGCTCAGGTCTCACTGCAGTTCAGGCTGACCTTGAGCTTACTTTGTAGCCCAGGCTGGTCTTGACTGCACAGTGATCTTCGGCATCTGCCTCCTGAGTGTTTTATAAAAATGAGTGGCCATGTAGCTGTGGTACAGCACCCTTGGGTTCAATTCCTACTACTGCTGAAGATGAATCAAAGCCTTATTTAAATTGTTCCCTTTCTGCTGCTACTCCGGTAATAAACATGTCCCCACTACTCTGTAGTGTCACATGTGACCAGACAGCTAGTGTGGGTCCAGCCCCAAACCAGGGCACTTGGAACTGTAATGAAACAGCAAACACCAGCCTTGCCTTTCATACAGAAAGGGACTGGGGGTCAGAGGGTCCAAATCTTGTAGACTAGAAAACCTGGAAACCAAACTGAGGAATGAAGTTAGAGGACTGTTATGCTCAAGGGCAAGATGTTTTGAGAAATGCGTACCTGACCACGTGACTTCTATCAGGAATGGCCTCCGCACCTGCTCTGTGTGTGTCCTCCTGGAGAGTCCCAGTGTATGGGTCAGGGTGGTTTTAAATTTCATAACCTAGGTTGGCCTCAAACTTGGGGGCAATCCTCCTGCCTCAGTCTCTCGAGTCTGGGGTTGTGGTTGTGGACCACCATATCCAAGGCCACACCATTTTTAAAGGACAGTACTTTTGCATCTATTTCCCAAAGAGAGGTAAAAGCAACCAAAAGGAGGCCAGACATGGTGGTGCATGCTCAATCCCAACACTTGAGAAGTTGAGGCAAGAGGATCAGAATTGTAGGCTAGCCAGTCTATGGTGACATACCCTGTCCTAAAAAGAGAATACTAAAAATAATACTAAGGGGTATTATTGAATCAGTAAATTCACTCACAGAAAACATTCCTGGCCAATGATTTTTGGTTGCTGAGAACATGTAGCACATTTTTTAAAAGTGGTAAAATTGAGAGCAGTCTGCACCTGGTGGTGCACGCCTGCAATCTCAGCACTTGGGGAGGCTGAAGCAGAAGGATTGCTTTGTGTCTGAAGCCAGCCTGGGCTGCTTAATTCAAGGCCAGCCAGACTTACACGTGGTGACACTGTGAGACAGTTTTTTTTTTTCCCAGATCAATCAGGACAAAAGTGGCCACATTGGCTGGCTGGTCTAATGCAGGACACATGCTCAGAAGCTCTTTTTTTTTTTTTTTTTTTTTTTGTCTTTGAGACAGGGTCTCTATGCAGTTCAGGCTGGCCTTGAACCCACTTTGTAGCCCAGGCTGGTTTCGCACTCGCACGATCCTCCTGCCTCAGCCTCCCGAGTGCTGGGATTACAGGCGGGAGCCACCATGCCTGGCTAGCTCTTTTGTTTGTTCTTTTGCATGTCATGAGAGATCAAGACCCTGATCTTCAAAATAATGTATTTTATGCAGCATGCAAACCAACAAAGGGAAAGACTTTCTTAGCAGCGGAAAGGCATTTTATGAAAGTCCAAATCACTCGAGTGGAAGGACTGGAGCTCTGCTCTGTGGCCTTCATTAGCTGCACCCCTCTTTTCTGCTATGGCCTAAGTGGGAGCTTTTTCTTCTACCTGTTTGCTCCCCTGGTCCCAAGGACTAGGTGTGGCCCCTGTTTTCCTTCATGGCCTGACGCTGGTCACTGTGGTCTGATCCCTTAATGCCCTCTGTGCTGCCTGGAACCAGCAAAGGCTGGTTCAGGCTGCTCGCCACAGGGCCTGCCAGCTTTCTCATGGCATGGGCAATTAATAGCTTTATTTCCCAGTGTCCATCCATGTTCCTGGTATTGATCGTTTAGTTGTCAGCTGCCAGCTCTGCATTGTTGGGAGTTTTGTGGACTTCCTTGATCACAAATGATTCAATCTTTCTCTGCCTTCATGATGCTTGCCCATGATCCCCACATCTGGGAAGCTGAGGCAGGAGGATCAAGGGTTGAGGCAAGATTGCATATTGAGATCCTGGCTCCAAAAAAAGAAGGGGGCCAGGAGTTTAGCTCGGTGATGTAAGCATCTGCCTGGCAAGTGTAAGGTGGTGAGTTCAATCC